CACAAACCGGGCGGGCGGGCGGCAGCGCCGTGCGAGCCGAGCAGCGTGTCGGGCGGCGCCCACGTCCTGCCGGGCACCGCCGCTCCCCTACGCGCCCATGAAGCTCGTAGTGTCCAAGCAGCACTGTAAGTAACGCCCGGGCGGGGGTATCGCTGTGCGTTCCGTGTTGGGAAGGCTCTGCGGTCTTAGTACGTGCTCCTTCCCCAGATATTGCTGGAATTAAGGGAAAAAAGTAAACCTCGGAGCCGGGTACAAATTATTCTGACTAGAAAAAAAAAACCCAACAGTATCTTGCAAGCATGATAAATGTGTAACACGCTCCTTATGAGCATCGCCTGTGGCTTTGGTTGGTTGGTGTAAGAGGTGTTAATGGACGGACTGTGTACTTCAGGGTTTGTTTGAAGGCTGTATGAGTCTCGGACATCCTTGTTTGTAGCGTACTTAATTGTATAAGGATTGTTGATCAATTTCACTTACTTGATCATAGCTAACTACTTCTATATCGGTGTTGGAGCTATTGATTCATTCCATAGTATCCTCTAGAAATAAAACAATCCAAAGGAAAAGTGTTTCTTTACACTCTCGCTTCACTAGCCCTTCTAATAAAGCCAACAAACATTTGCTTCTTTGTTAAAAGTTAAGTGTGTTCTGAAAGGGTAACTGGGGATAGTCAAGATCGCAGCTACCCAGTGCCAAAACTTAAAAGATGTTTCTACTCAGTAGGGAGGTAGTAGGGAGGTAGCGTGCACTCAGCTGCACTTGATATTTTTTTTCTTTCTTTTGAAAGGAATACTTGAAAACCTTTTCTGCTTAAGTAGAATAAAATAGTTAGAAACAGCTTTGAGGAGCTGTAGCCTTCAGAGCTGCATAACCCAATGCATTCTCCAGCTTTTAAGGTATGTTTGCTGAGCTACACATATCATTTTTCTTTAGAATGTTCTCTGTAGTGTTTACTCATGTAGTGCTTACAGTACCTGTAGATATTTCAGCCAAATTTAACATAGGTGGTGACCAAGTAATCCTCTTTCACAAACTGGTTTTATGGTCTATGTCCAGCTTCATATATCAAGTGCTGCTGAAAGCACACTGCCTCAAGGGAATGGCCTTAATCTGTGCCAGGGGAGGTTTAGACTAGACATTAGGAATAACTGTTTCAATGCAGGGGTTGTCAGAAACTGGAACAGGCTGCCCAAGGAGGTGGTTGAGTCACCATTTCTGGATGTGTTTAAAAGTCATCTAGAAGTGGTGCTTGGGGATATGACTTAGTGCTGGACTTTGCAGAGTAAGGTTAATAGTTGGACTTAATGATTTGAAGGTCTTTTCCAACCTAAGCAATTCTGTAATTTTCATTCAGAAACAAAAACCTGCAGAACATGGACTAACTTAGATTTTGATTTGGTGTAACTAAGAAGAGGTAGCACTTGCATATCAAACTCTTAGTAGTATTGAAAACTATTTTATTGTAAAGAATAAAGCTTTTAGGGACTTATGTAATCACTTGAATGAGAAAGAGTGGGAAATTTGGATTTTTCTTCCCATCTTGAGGGGAGAAAGAGCACATCAAAGTCAAGCATGTAGGTAACTGGCTACATTGCCCAAGCTCTGTGACAACTGAGTCTTCAGTTGTGGTGTTTTAATGTATTGAGGCTTTAAGGAAAACAGCAGGTGAGTGAAGTGTTTAGTACAACTATTCTGTTGGTAGTTTCTTTGCTGAATTAAATACATGATTTCTGCTGGCCTTACACTTTTTGATTTAGGAGAGTAATTTTGTACAATAATAAATTTGCAATTTAGTATTAGTCTTGCAGGAAAACATGATAGTATGTTATCACCAACTTAAAAAAATCATTAAATTATACACAGATTCTTCTGGTACCATGTAGCTTTCCACTGCATCAATCTCTAGTGAATACTACTACACAGTCATATTTTACTGTTTTTTTTATTTAATCCTGATGTTTGCAGATGTTTGTCCTGTGCTTAAGGACACATTGCAAAATGAATTGCAGTTGCCACATAGGATGTAAGACTTCAGTATTGATTGTGGGGTTTGCTTTGCATGGTGGAAAAGATAATGAGGTAATAGGCATTTCCCAATATTTCAACAAATGAAACCTGACTTTCTGTGGAAATTATTCCTTTAAATCCTTATAAATTGTATGTTTTCTTGACTGCTTCTGTCAAAATGAGGTAGGCTCTTATATTCCTAAGTCTTTTTCCTCTCTGAGAAGGGAAGATTTCCTGTGAAACTAGTGTGCTTTGCTGATTAGCCAGTGGTAAGAGAGGATCTGGGGACTAACCTGTCTTCATTTTGGCTCACCGTCTTCAAGCTTCATCTTAGAAGCTTGTCTTTGCTTTGTTTTTTTCCTTTGCTGAACTAGATGAGTTGTCAGGCATGCTAGGCTTATGCCAATTTTCTGCTTCAAAGCATTAGTGCTGTTTTTGAGACTAAGGTTTGCATTACCTTTCTGTATCACAGCACAGCATAATGAATACAGGTGTATGTGTTATGATGCCTTGCACTGTCAGGTGCTCCAGAAGAGGATAAAATAATCAAACTGAATTCTGCAGATTTCAAAAGCCTTCTAAAGTGTAATGTTGTTCATTTTAAATGTGTTGTTTGAACATAAGAAAAAGAGCAGTTAAATGCCTTCATTGATCTCTGAAACAGCATTGTAGCCAAGTAAGAACAAAGATTTTAATAAGGCAGTTAACTAGACTGGTGCTTCACAGCAATTTTCCACATCAGACATAGGGAAGAAGCCAGCTGGACATCTTCATTGTGTTGCTTTTCTTAAGATAAAGCTTTGGGGGTCTCCATTCAAATCAGTATCTCACATCTCACCCCAAGCCAGCTGGTAATTGTTAGGGGTCAAAGAATGTCTTTTTTTAGCCATGGTGACTGTTTAACCGTGGCAGTTACAAGGCATATTAGTTTTAATTTCTAATGACTTTGAGTTGTAGCTTCACAATAAAGAATGCTTTTGGATAATTAACTTGTTACACCTGTGATGTTTGGCTGCAGCATGATTATCTAGTACTACTTAAAGCCAGGTGGAAACTGGAAAACCCAGGCATTTTCACCTGTGGTGTTGCTAAAGATGGAATGCTGTGATTATATAATATATTTGGGTGAAGAACACAGGAGTGAAACTGATGTTGGTGTTACTGTTGTTTGGCAAAGCAAATAAGTACAATATTATTGGTTACTGAAATTTTCTCTAATGCATTGAAATATCCCACAGACTTCTAATTTTAAGAATTCCTTCAGGCAACATGCTGTTTAAACTTAGTCTCCAGTTGATTTTAATGTAGGTGGGAATAAAGGTTTTCTAAGGAATAGAACTGGTCCTAACAAATTGAACTAGTTGGAATGTTGTGTTCCAGCACCCTGTAAGTAAAAGCTGCTGTCAGCCTTACCAACAAGATAATACATGGCCAAGAGGAATGGGAAACTTATGCAAATCTGTTCCAGCACTGGGTGCTGTCAGACCCAGGAGTGATATACTGGGTAGCTGATCATTGCTACTTGTAGCTTTGGAATTTTGGCTTTTCTTTGTTAGGGTTTTAAAAATTAATCTATGTAGGCTAGGTAGCAGCCCAGTTGTCCAATGCTATCTTCAGAAATCAGTTTGTGGTAAAATACATGTGTGAATGGTCACAACTGTTTAACAAACACCGCTCTCCTTTTGGGTTTGCAGTTACTTTTGCTTGGGTTGTGGCTTTTGATTGGGTGTCGTTTTGGGTTTTTTCTTCTTTTTCTAGTGAGGCAGTAGATATTAGTAAGCCCTTGCTGCTGGAAATGAACTGGAGTTTTGCCTGATATATATTAATGATTTATTTAGCTCTAGCTCTGCAAGGTCTGGAGAAACTTCTGCTACTAAGCAGATATAGTTAACCTTTTAAGATATATATCTTTTTTTTTCAAAGGAAAACAAATACTTCCTTTTTATAACCTGTTTGGATTGCTTAAAATAACAATGAGAAATAGAAGCAATTGAAAAATGTTAGTTGTTACCTAATTTTTTAATAGCAGCTTTCATAAGCTGTGAGAATACTACCCCATCTTAGAAGTAACTCTTGTTTTGACTTTATTTGTTTTCTGATTTTAGGGGGGGCTTTCTCTCCTCTTCAGTCCCAATTAAAACAGGAAGTTCTTAGATCATCAAAACATTAAGCAATGCAAAATAAATGCAAATAAAAAATGTAAATAAAGTAATAGGATTTCATTGTGTCCAGGAAGAAAAGCAGCTGAACGTAAAATATTTCATCTGAGATATTTATGACTAAAGTATCAGAGTTTTGATACCACTATTCAAATTATTGATAAAAAATAGAGATACTGTATCTGTGTTTGTGGTGCAGCTCTTATAAGAGTGATGTGAAACAGTTTTGGCAAATGAAGAAAAGCTAGGGTCCAGGTAAAGAGAAGAAGAAAGTTCTGAGCAGCAGGATTCAGGCACAATCTCTATAAGAGTTGAGGAGTAAAAAGATTCAGCTAACCTTAGGCAATGGTTGTTTAAATCCTTAGTTATCCACTTTAATGGGAGAAATGTTACGTAGTGACCTAGTAGTTCCCTTATTTATGCTTTACACCCCCTCCTTAGGTAGTATGTTAAGCATAGGATTTTTTAAGATCAAATGGGTTGAATTCTGAATGTAATATGCCTATGGGAATAGTCTTATGGGTTCACACTCTTCAAAGTTCGTGCAGAAACTAGGTAAAATGTGTCATGGAATTTCTTGTGAGTGAACCTTTCCCCTAGATAGCACAGCTGTTGGTGTGCATCAGATTACCTAATTATGCAATGCTGTAGATACATTCTGTTTGCATTGTCACATGCTTCTGCAGCTAAATTTTGGACTAGTGAAGATTTTTATCTCAAGTTGACAAGTCAGTAAGTAGTTGGTGCAGTTTTATATAAAGGTAATTAATTTTCTCCAGAGGATAAGCAGAGTTTCTTGATTTATGCTAGGCTTTTAACAGTGCATGATTCATCTTGATTCTTTCTGTATCAGTTCTACAGGTCGTAGAACTGTTGTAGTTCTATAGAATATATACATATAGTACATAGATTTTATAATGTTATTTTTTATGACCTGCTACAGCAGAGCTACACAGTACAATAGCTTTCTTTTCTCCACAACAACAAATTGCATTGATTCAGTAGGTATTTTCTGTAACATATTCAGTGTCTTCATTTTTCACAGTAAATCACACAATTCTGAATAACTGTTAGATTGTTAAGATGTTAAGATGTAGATGTCATGGATTTCACTTTCTTTTCCTACATTTCCTGGCTCTTAACTCAAGAAACTGAACATTTTTTCAGGTTATCAATGAAATGCTGGACTTCCAGTTTAAAACTAACCAAAAAAAGCCCAAAACAAAGTCTTCCATAGTTTCCCCCCAATTTGCCCTCAGATCTGTGGACCCATTACCTACACAAATACCCCCTGGTTGTAGCAGTGAGTGCCGTAATAATTTTTATGTCCTCTGAGTGGTCTTTCTGTATTCAGGGAGACAGCAAAACCCAGGAGCACCTTGTAGTCTAAATGCAAGCTCCCATTAGCACTGCATTTGGTGGTGACAGGAAAGTTTAAGTGTATAGGTACCAGCTAAGGTGGTTTATCTAATACTGAAAAGGGCTGGTGGTGCTTTAGTGGTGCATTTTGTTTTGGTGCATATTGATAGCAACACAGGAGACAATGAATCCATTTTTAAAACAATCACTGGAATACGGAAGTGTTTCCACATTCACTTCAATAGTATGGGAGTATATGAATTTCATCAGGACTTGTCAGGATCTTCAATTGATCCAAGTAGTTACTGTCTTTATTGCTAGTGATTCCAACAGATAGCTGGTGTTAGCAGCTGCGAAGAAAACTAAGCTGCTGTTCTGTGTAACTGAAATGTCGGCTGTGGACTGCCGAAGAAAACTACCACTGTTCTAGCAAAGATCTTTCTACAGCTCTGTTTGGCTCAAAACAAAATGAAAGGAGCTTAGATTCGCAGGGAGAATAAACTGAAAGTCTCAATGCATTTTTGCTTGCTTTTAAAATGTGAGCATTGTGGTGAGCACCTAATAGAACTGTACGGCCTTGAAATTACTTCATAGTTGTTTTTTACAGGTCTTATTCTGTGTTAATGTTTTTGAGGAGTCACAGCTAAATTAAGTTGTAACTGTTTTGGCAGTCATTTATTAATAACTCAGCTGGTAGTACTTAGCACTTTTATTACTGGGCTTGTGTTTGATAGGTAGATGGAATCCTTCTTCCCTCTCAAAGGTTAAGATCGACATGATAGCTTTAAAGCAACTGTTGGTGCAGCTAGATTGTAGCAGATTTTATGCTCTTAATGTAGAATATTGAAAGTTGGTTTACACTTAGTTACAGGCTGGTTCTATATACTACAATTCAACTATGCTGCGTTTAAAATTCTATTTCCTGCATGCACAGTTAAAATACATCCAAGGAGGAGACTTACTATTATAGTGAGGTAGGTAACTGAAGTTCTCAGTGGCTTAAATAAAGATTTGTGTAAATTGCTAATGGGATTGGCATCATGAGCTCTGCGACTTTGTGTTGTACAGTGTAGACCAGACCACAGACCACTTTTGCTTAAATATTTACCTTATACTTCCAGAAGTGTTTGAGATACAGGTTAGTGTATAATAACATATTTTTCCTCTTTACTCTAAAGCCTATTTTAAAAACATCTGTTTCAAATTCCTCTCATTATAGGGAGCTTTTCAGGCATGTGCATAGAATGTATCTTCCCAAACCTCAAATTAGACTTCACTGCATTGTCTTTGTGTCTTGCAGCTTGTAGGGCATGGAAAAGAATTAGGCTTTGCAACAGATATCAGGAGGTGCTCTTACAAAACCTGAACTGTAAGCAAGCGACTTCATGAGAGTTTATGCATCACACCTTTCTTGTCCTTAGGGAAAAGGGGGAGAATATGATGGTTCAAATATTTGGTATACTGCAGTGAAGCAGAATAACCATTTCAAACATCTAACTTTTAAGGATCGGTTGAGGGGTTGTATTAATATCTGTGAAATTCAGAGATGAGAATTATTCAGACAGACAAGAACGATGCTGAGACCTTTGTGGTAAGAAGTAAAAGACTGTAAGCTCTTTCCAGCTTGAAGTTGACGAACTTGATACTGAGCTGGGATTACCTGATGAAGAACAGTGTCATCAGTACCTCCTGTGCTCATTAAAGTCTTTCCCCTAAATTATTTCCATTTAAGTTCACTGGTGGAAATATCAGGAATGCATATGGTGTTCATGGTTTGGCTTTTGTATCAACACTTAAGTTGGGATGCCCTAGTTGGTACAATCACATTTCTAGCAAGTCTACCCTAAAAGCAAAGAGGTGACAGTGTGACTGGTATTTTAGAAGTGAATCTTAGATGTTAACCATGTGCTCAATACTTTTAATTTCTCAAGAAACATTATTAGCTGCCTCCTTCTGCAGTACCTATGTATACATTTTTGTTACATGGCTTACTATTTAAAATGAATGCCTGTATATAAGAAGAATAGGCAGACCAACTTAATTCAGTTAATATTTTGTCTGTGTTTCTCTTGCTATTAACACAACAAGGGCTTTAATAGACTAGGCTGGCTGTGTCAAATACATACATGCTGAGAAGCAAATAATAGTATTTCTTGTATACTTGCATGATAGGCTAACACATATACCAGCAAAGGGAGTCTATGCTCAAAGAAAAGCACTGTCAGTGGTAAATACTGAACTAGAAACAGCTCATTCTTTTTCTGCTAATATATGCAAGTCGTGTAGCTCCAACACTGCTACTAGTTCTGGTGGGCTGAAATCTGGAGACTTGCAGCATAATGGGAGGGTTGTGTATTACTGCTCCTCGGATAGAGCCTTGTGACTGTGGAAAATTCAACTGATCTTGGAAAGGCAATTGTAGATATTACACAGTGGGAATGTGACTTGAGAAATTATGTTCTCCTGTTCGGTTGTTTCTTCCTCCTCCCCTACTTGATCTATTTTAAGAATTGGTGCTGGGAATCAGACTGGGTGAAATGCAGTAAATGTGCCCTGCCAAGGGGTGCTGACTAAACAGTAACATGTTTTCCTGGGAAGAAATATTTCCTTTTTATTTAAACCTTCTCCAGATCAGTGTTTTGATACTTTCTTTATTCTTTTTCTTAACTGAGGCTTTATGAAGTCTTAGCTTAGAGAGGTGTTAAATACATTTGAATTGGACATGTAAATGATCACTAGCTTTCAAGAGCAGATTCTGCTACTGTGACTGTACTGAGTTGTCATTCAGCAAGTGTTTTAAGTGATATGGCTAACCTGTGTATTTATAGTGACTTTCTCTTTTTTCCTCCCCAACCCTCTTGTCCTTAGCATTTCCATGGTTTGGAATGGATATCGGTGGAACATTGGTTAAACTGGTCTATTTTGAACCGAAGGACATTACTGCAGAAGAGGAACAGGAGGAGGTGGAAAACCTGAAAAGCATTAGGAAATACTTGACCTCCAATACAGCCTATGGTAAAACTGGCATTCGGGATGTCCACCTTGAACTGAAAAATTTGACTATGTGTGGACGCAAAGGAAACCTGCACTTCATCCGCTTTCCCAGCTGTGCCATGCACAGGTTCATACAAATGGGTAGTGAAAAGAACTTTTCCAGTTTGCACACTACGCTCTGCGCCACGGGAGGTGGAGCTTACAAGTTTGAGGAGGACTTTAGAACGGTATGTGAACAGGTCATAAGGATTCAGTGGGGAGTACTTTGAGAAAATATGTGAGTCCTTCTGTGTAAACTTGCATAGAAAATAACATTTCTTTGTCCATCTTAATTAATTAAGACTAACAGAGTCAATTCATGTTTGTTAATTGGTGGAATTGCTGAGACTGTGGAGGGTATTTTACTTACTGGATATTTTACTGAAATACTGCTGTGCAGGTTGTCTTCCAAAAATAGGATGTATTTTTTTTTTAGAGTATAGCTGTGATGATCAGATGCCTCATAATCAGCTGAAGGTGAGTTATGACAACCTAGGAGCCTGAAACTAGGTACAAACTTTGCAAACTGGATATTAGAAAACCAGGAATTAAACCATACAGGCTGGAAATTAGATTCAGGTTCCTTTCCCCTTACATTAGTCTTCAAGTGGACTTAAGTGTCTGGAAGACCAAGTGTGGAACAGAGGGAAAAGCAGTGTATGCAAGTATGACAATAGCAGCTAGCTTTTGATTTAAATCCTGGGCATACATCATGAGAAGAAAAGCAGTTCTTGAGGTATTTAGATCCCAGATTCCTTGAATTTAGAAATAGCCTCTGCAAGGAGCTCCAGAAGATGATGTAAATCTTGTATTTGGATGCTGCTGTTTGTACAAACTTCAGCAGTAGTCCCAGCTCCTGAGTAAGAGCACTGCAAAAATTCATTGTGGTGATAGAGACATAAGGAACCATTGTACAAACTGCATTAGAGAGAAATTGTCATTAGGGAGTCACTTGCCTATTGTGTTTGTGTGTCTGTACTGGGGCATATCTACATTTATCTTCTGTAAAAGAGTGACTAGTCTGCCTATACCAGAGCAGCCTCACTCAGATTAAAGTGAATTATTTACTTGACAGGCAGGTCTAACACTTCTTTTCCTAACTTTTGACCTGATCATGAGGAATGGTTGCTGGGTTGACTGGTTACATCAGTTGCTTTTCTGCCTCAGTTTAGGGAGCTATCATAGGGACTTGCTAATTGCTGTTGACTGCAGTCCTTGGCTTTGTGCTTAATTTTTAACTCCAAGCGTTCCTGCAGTGGAAGAGGTTTTCTTTCCCTAACTTTTGACCTGATCATGAGGAATGGTTGCTGGGTTGACTGGTTACATCAGTTGCTTTTCTGCCTCAGTTTAGGGAGCTATCATAGGGACTTGCTAATTGCTGTTGACTGCAGTCCTTGGCTTTGTGCTTAATTTTTAACTCCAAGCGTTCCTGCAGTGGAAGAGGTTTTTTTGTCAATTCTCCTCACCCACCAGATGACCAAGGTCTTAAGGGGAAAAGAGAAGACTGCAAGAGGTCAATGTAACTTCCAGCTGTTGTACTGTTTTGCAATCATTTTCAGTAAATGTTGGGCAGGAAAGCAGCTAGTCTAATGAAGAACTGTAAAGTCTCTGAACTGCTGTAGTAATCCACTACTAGTGTCAGATTTTTTGTCCTGTAGGCTGGTTACAAGTCCATTACATGTTAGGGTCTTCAGAAGTTATAATTTGTCTTGCATTGTGTAAGGATATTGGCACTACAGCAGGTGGTGAGTTCTAGTGCTAGTCAATGTGGCCTCAATTCAGGTTTTCATGTCCTGTGTGTCCAGGGGATGATTGAGGTCATGCTCTGTAGTGACAATGGGAGGTCACTTGGAGACTTTCTGTATATGCTGACTATCTCTTTGGAATGGTTAGTCTTCCTAAATACTTCTGCATCATGTAATAGCAGCTGGAGTTGCTTACTTAATAAGGAAGTTAATGTCCCTCACTTCCAAGTCTGTAGAATTTAACTGGAAGTTACTGGTGATTATCATGACTAAGCATTTCTCTCCATAGCTTTGACTTTATCTGGTGTAAATATGCAATTTACAGTGAGGTACCAGTCTCTGTCATCACAGTTGCAATATAGTAAATGTAGCACTGGAAGCCGTAGCTGAAGCTGGGGCTTTTTTGCTGGCTATTTAACAAAAATAGGAGGTAACAGCAAATTACGAGTGGACTTGAAGATGTAATCAGTCATCTCTGCAGTGTTGGTTAATATCCTGTGTGCTGCAACACTTGGAGGTAGTTGAGAAAAACATGATAAAGGCTGAGCAGGGGTGTGTATTGTAGTGCAGAGCAATCAGTGAAGTGCACTCACACCTTAATAGTGAGTGCTTTGGACACCTCTTCTTACAGATAAGCTGTTCCACACCTTCCTTTATAGCAAGTATTTCTTGGCTCAAACTGTAATATCCATAGAGTATTACAGAAGCAAAATACTATCCATTACATGAAGGTTTGCTTGCTTAATCAGTCTCAAAGGGCTGAGTGTCCTGGGTACTGGCACTTAAATCGTCACACTTCATTAGCCATTGTAACAGCAGATGGCTATCTCAGTGTGTTCTGCTGACTGTAAATTGACATTGGACAGAAGCAGCTTCAGGATTGCTCTCTCTCAAAGCACTGAAATGTCTGTTTCAAATATTTGATCACTCTCATGCACCTGTAGAAGCAGACACCATGTGCCAAGTCTAATATCCTGCCATTGCAGGATTCAGTCTTGTATAATGTCTTATATGGAGGAGACTTTAAATGTTCCTGCTTCTCTTACTTAGAAACAATGTGGAAAAACTGAAGTATGTTTGTCAATGTACATTTCATAGTGAAATCTGGCTGCATACTAAGCTCATGAAACTGGTATAGGCAACAGGCTTTTTTTTCTGGCCCCTTATTTCCCTGTGTAGATGTTTTTAAGTTACTATCTTTCATGGTGTTTCTAGAGGCTTATGGGACTTTCAGGATTGCATATATTTAGGACAAAGCAGCCAACATATTGCAAAACAGCATTCAAATCCAAAAGAAGGAATCCTTCTAAGATTACGACAGCTTTTTCTTCTTAAAATAAACAAACACCCTGTTGTTACTTGCCTGTTCCAGTGTCAAATTCTGAATCCCTAAATGAGTTAAATATGTTTGATCTAGGCACATCTGCTGCTTTTGTGTATTAAAAAATCAGATGTGATGCATATTCTGTTTACCTTAAAAGTCTGTTGTCTTGGCATAGAAAGGCAATTAAATCTACAAAGCTAGATAGGTTTAGCTGTTTGACCTCCCTCTCATATGATCCAGTGTTGGATAAGAAGACACATGGAGAAGCCTCCATGGACTCCTTGGTGACTGCTAGCAATGATGCTCAGTAGCTTGCAAATAATTTGATTAATTCTTAAAATCTGAATGCTTCCCCTAGAAGTGGGAAAGCTTACTGTAGTCATTAAGCAAGACCACAGAAATAATGTTACCAAACATAAGGTTATACTTAGTGTTAATTGAAGAGTATGGGTAAGTAATTCACTAAAGAACTGTTTCTAGCTGAGGGTGTTTTTTTCTTGGTTTTGGATTTTCCATGTGTTATGGAGTTGTTTTCTCCATTTTTCTTTTCTGAATGACTGATATGAATGGCTGGTTAACTTTATTTTCAGGTAGCAGTGTTGTTAAGGTATGGCTGAATTTGTTGTTAATTCTGATAACCCTCCTCCTTTCCCCAACTGCATACTGTCACTTCACATATTCTGTAAATGCTTGAGTAACATCACTTCCATAAAAGTAAGGAGTACATAGACTTATTTGCTTATGTACCTGTGATGTAAATTTTTTTACTCTGTGACTCCTTCATGATAGTTTGCACACATTTCTTCCACAAAAGTATGATGTTAATGTAATGAGGAATAAATTCGTAGGCTGTCACTTAGTTTTGTAAAGCAACTCAATGTAAAGGATACATGGGGGATGAGGGAAGGAAGCACTACTTGGACTTTTGTCTAAAACTTGCTCTATTGCAAAATTCCTGTTGATTTTCCTGGCTTTAAGATGGGATGTTTTTATTCCTTTATTGAACAGACACCTACAGAACCAGTCTTGTCTTGATAGAAATTTTACTGCTGGCTTCAGTTGGACCTGACCCCAAAGCCAATCACTTAATACAGAACATTTAGGGCAGGGTAGGAAGTAAATCTGTTACCAACACAAAATTAAACTTAGACCTTAACTTTCCTCATCACCTCTAGAGAAATGCTTTGAGGAGAAGCTTGGCTGTTCAAAGTTAATTTCCTTGTGCCAATTAAAAGCTGATTCTAAGGCTTGATTTAGTGATATGAATGGAATGACTGTGGATGACTTGTAGACTGTATTTATCTTAAATAAACTCACTGTCCTGTGTTGTAGGATGAGTAAGCCATGTAACTCTAGGTTAGCATAAGACACTCAAATCTTGTTGCACCTTACTTGCTTGAGGAGGCTGGACACTTCTGCCCAGGCCATAGGTGATGACCTGTAATGTGTAGACTGGGCCAGAGTTTAAAGTGGCGCCTGGAGGACAGGTGAAGTAACCACAGTACCTTCTGTTAATACCACTGCAAGAAGCTAGGGAACTCTTCAGAGGGAGTGGGTAGGACCAATGTGCGTCTCATCCCTGTGAAGAGAGGGAAGAGATCCTTACAGCTAGCTGGGTGAGAAGGCAGATCCTCTGCTAGTGCTTTTTTGTCCAAAGCTGATGCAGTCCATCTAGGCTTCTGCCTCAGAGAATGTTGAGCTTACCTTTTATTTGCATTAGGCTTTGTCTTTTTTGAATGTAAATGGATATTCCCAGCCTCAAGGTGTGGAATACTTCGTAGGGTGGGGGTGGTGGAGTACCTCATCTGAGCTCAAATAGAAGCGGGGTTGGAGGCTGAAGTAAGGACAATAACAATCTGAAGGAAGTGGAGCACATGTTGTGAAAGTGGAGGAGAGGTAATGGGAGGGAGATGGAAGAAAAAGCTAGACTGTAAGCTACTATAAGAAATAAAAACTGGAGTGTTGCCCGGAAGGCATATAAAAGGCAGACTGGTATTGTAAATGAGGCTGTTTTAATTGATAATTAAAAACTTGTAAGACATTGTGTTCATAAGAGTTTCTTTCAGGAAAAAAATAATCATATTTCTGATAGAAAGTCCAAGAGACAGATTAATTTGCAACTGAATCTAGGTTTGGATATTCCTGTACTAGCCAGAACTCGGTAACTGAAAATTCAAACTGGGTCTTTCATGAGCTGAACCTTCATCAAAAAGATGTGTGCACATCAGTGTTCATCCATGAGGCTTTAACCCTCCCACATATATATCATGGCTACCCTCAGCTCACATTGAGAGGACTGAGCTATTTCATGTTTTCCTTCCTGAGGTGGAAATATTTACTCACTCATAAAGCAACAAGTATGACTCAAGTCTGTGCTCCTCTACTTGAAAGCAGCAGCAAGTAGGTACAACATTTCTTTCCATTTATACTATCTGATACTTGAGTAAAGCTAAAAATTGTTTTACAATATGCTTATTATTTAAAAACTAAAAACCTGAACTTGAACAGACAGTACTGTTTTCCAGCACTTTTTATAGGAGTACAACAAGAGGTGGGCTTTCATTCTCCTTAAAATAGCATCTGCACACAGTAACAACAGACCTTTTGAGTATTCTTGAAATCAGCTGGGTTTCAGGAGTTTGTTTTTAAGATGTAACTTGTCATGGGGAAGTGTTCACTACTTCTTTGCTGTGTTGCATGTGCTTGTAAATATGGTTAAAGTCCTGATTTCCTCCTTTTGGTGTTCCTGAAGAGTGTCTTGAAGACTAAAGAGGCTTTGTTCCCTCCCCTTTCCTGGTATTTAAAAAACAGTCTAAAAGAAAGAAGAATTTTTGCAATATGGCCATAAAGCAGAAAAATGGTGTTATTAAAAATCTACACATGGTTTCCCTTTAACCATCATAAATTTTCCCCTCAAGGTCCTGTGGACTACTTTGTTCTGCAGTTCTTCCTCTCACAGTGCAACTTTTTGACATAAAACTTCTAGAGAGGCACTGTGCTAAATGTACTTACAAGAGCATAGAATGGGATAAGTTGACCATTATGCTGTCTGTCCTCACATTAGAGATTGTGAAGAGCTGGAAAACATCTGTGAATGCTTTTGTAAAAAGTAGGTAAAATATCCAATGAAAATGTGCTTCTACTCACGACTCCTGGTTTTGGTTTACATTTTTGCACATAAGCTTCAGTTCCTACAAGGAGAAGTGGTTTGAACAATTGAAAGATGAGGACAAGTAGAGTATGGTAGTCAGGTGATGGCACCAGAAAAATGTTTGCCTACTCGTATTTTATTTATGATGTTTACAGGCACATCTGTTTTGTGATAGTTTTGCTGCTTGATTCTCTGTGGGCAAAGAAAAGAATAAGAGAAAAGGCAGTTCTATGTGCAGGAAAAGGGCCTGGGAATTGTGATCCCAGCTCTATCACAATTTCTTGTTCAAGACTGGATTGCCATATTCCTTGCAACTGTGCCCTTATTTGTATTTAGAAACAAGAACAGTGGTTGCTTGCTGGGCTGTTTGGAGCCTTGGAAGTCTGGTGGCTGCAGAGCTCACAGATCTCTGAATGAAGATGGATTGATGTGGAATTCCAGTGCCAGTCTTGCTCCTTCTGAAATGAATACCAGACTGCTGCAACAACGCAGGAAAATAGTTTTTCAGTCTACTATGAATATCGTACATCAAAGAAAGCAGTAATAGAGCTTTTCTTCTTACAGTACGTCAGCTGTTAAATATAGCACAGAGCTATAAAAAGCAGAGCAAATTCTAGTATGTTTTTTGTATCTGAAAGCCTGGACTTAATAAAAACTTCTCTGCTTTAGTGATTGAAAAAGAACCTTTGATTAGTTTCTTTTGTGCTGTCCTTAAAATTACTCAAGAATTTGTAGAATCAATTTTCTGTTTGTTGCACTAAGGTCAGAAGTGTTTTATTCTTGGTTTTGTGTTGCTTGTTTGTGTCTTCTAAGGCCTCTCACTGATATTTAACTGTTTATAGAAGTATAACATGGATGAGACAAAACCAGCTTGTGGCTGGGTATTTGGCTTGTTGGAGGATAGAGTTTTTGACAGTAGGAGCCATAATTCTGCTAGTGACTTGTCTTTGTGTAGCAGCCTTCTGGTTTGTAGCATGTTTGTGCATGCTGTGTCTGTGTTAGATCATGCTTGGTCATGCTGCATCTAGCTTATGCAGTAAGATGAAGAAGTTGAGTCTGTACAGAACATAACCTAGAGAAAGATCATGATTAGTATAGACTCTTAGACTGTCTTGGCTAGCTATATCCAATGTTATTTGAGTTTTAACAAAATAAATAAAACCTCTGACAATTGATGACTTAGTGGGCTCCATATGATGTCCGTTGTGAGAGGGAGTGCATCTCAAGCATTTAGTTAATACCATGTATATATACATCTTAATTGGAGCTTTCCCCCTCAGTCTAAGAGCAAGAAATTGCTGAAATCCAAGATATTTGCAGAGTAGCCTTAAGATTTTTGTAACGTTTCTTGAAAAACTTCTTTTCCCAATCTGTGTTTGTTCTTTTTATTTGCTGGCTAAATGGTTCAAATATCTTATGCTGCGTTCCTGTAATTGTAATTTGTGTAGTCATGTGGTAAGCAAGAAAACAAATATGAAGGGCATGTGAAAGTTACAGAAGTAAATACTGAAACAAGAAGAAATTGTGTACCTGTCTCTGTACTGTGAATAATAAGATATATTTTGAGGTCTTAAACTGCTGGTTTTGGGGTTTGGTTTTTTGTTTTGTTTTTTTCTTCTATGGTTGCAGGATTTGAGGACTAGCAAGTATGACAAAAGGGCAGAATCATTTTCAGTTAAGTCAAGCCAGAGCTATGTACAAGTAGAGAAAAACTTAAGGGACTTAAATAGCTCAAAAGAATGTAGCCTGTTTGCCATGCTTATTTCACAGAAACGTCTTTCCCTTTTACAGTGACTTAATGTAGCTTCTAGAATTAAAAATAGGAGGTAGTTATATCTTATCCTGTACCTGTTATAAAAATATCCTGCAATATGTAAGTGTTTGAGAACCAGATCTGTGCTGCATAACTCCCTTTTGTTCCTAATACCTCTTGCTTTTTCTGCTGGAAAGTGGAGTTAAGCAGGACCTGCTTTGCAGGTGTGAGGATGGAAATGAACAGTTGGATGGACAACTTCTCCCTAATACAAGTCTAAGCTTAGTGTCATTTGGAAATGAGATTTTCTACAGATTGTTACAGTATCCTACTTTGAGAAAGGGATGTAATTTCTAATTCTAGTAAACAGAATGCTATGGCAAGTATACACATCTATTTAAGTACAGTCATGGATGACCTGTGAGATCCCAGAGGGAATGTCCTATTTAAGCTTTTATAATTGTTTTTCTGCCTTCTGTTACAGTTATATGAACAGTTTGCTGTGGGCATGGGCCTGACAATATTTTTAGTTGGGTTTTTTATCTTGTTTTTTTCATTAAACAGTGCTTATTTTTCATTAGGGGTTTACAGTGCTTATTGTAATTTAAAGAAATAGCTCTCTCAGATTACTGGTGACATATGCATAGATATATACTAAAAAATTTGCAAATCTTAAGCATAATCCGCTGCACTTCTAATGCAGTATATAAAGTATATGTACTTTGTAAGGCTTTATCTTTTTCTTTAACTGAAGTTTCTTAATCTTACTCTTGTATTAAAAAATGCATTAAATTGCTAGGAAATGTAGTTGGATGATGAGTTAACACATTTTGCATCCTGAAGAGCGTTGCTGTGCAAATAAGTGGCAGATGCTACCCAAAAGCTGCAGAATGCAGCTCCTCTTGACATGGGGATGAGGGGAAGAAATGTATTCCTTTAGAATACTGGGGGGGTGGGGAAAATGTTTCCTCCTTTCAGAACAGGGAATATCTCAAAGGCAAAGGAACTAAATGACATTACTGTGCAACACATCATTGCTTTGGGAGGTACCTGTTGTCAGGCAGACAGGAAACTTTTTATTTCAGACCTCATGCTTAGACAGATCTTTGTACTGTTTAAATAGCATAATGTGTTACTGTTAAAGTGATAAAAGTACTTCAGTGGAGCCTTTTGTCCTTCTCAGTGTTGTATTATACTAAGAAATGTTTGTTTATTAATTTCTTGTTGTTCTTTTCCAGATTGCTGATCTACAACTTCATAAACTGGATGAGTTGGACTGTTTGATCCAGGGCCTCCTTTATGTTGATTCTGTTGGTTTCAATGGCCAGCCAGAGTGCTATTACTTTGAAAACCCTACAGATCCTGAACAGTGCCAGAAAAAGCCTTACTGCCTTGATAATCCATATCCTATGCTGCTTGTTAACATAGGCTCAGGGGTCAGCATCCTAGCTGTGTATTCTAAGGACAACTACAAGAGAGTCACAGGATCCAGGTAAATTTAATTCTGTGATTCTTCGTAATAATTTAACAGAAGCAGAATATGACTAGTAAGTGCAGCGCCAAACTGTGCTTGTCTTCCCCTTTGTTTTAGAAGCCCACCAGTAACAAGACTGGAAATATGCTGAGATTCCTTCAGAGAGGCGATCTACATCAGGGAAATAATTGATCCTTTCAACTTTCGAGCCATTGGTTGTTTTTCAAGCATAGCCCTTTTGATATTTGTAGATGTGCTTCTGATCCTTTCCACTACAAAAGGAAAAACATGATTGCAAAGGGTTGTTGACTTGTTACAGATGATAAAATCAGTGCTGTCTTGTGGCTGATGTGCAGAGCTTTCTACTGCTTAGATACTGAATGTATTGCAGTGCTACTAGATGTGTTCTGAAAAACTTGCCTAGTAATCCAGAAGACTGACTAAGTGATGTTCCTATCTGAACTCCTGTGCTTTTTTGTCAAGTGCAAGTGTGGTTTCTCACTGATTTCAGTGGCTCCAGTTGGTGTGACTGCAATCAGTGCAAATAAGCTCACTTTCTCAAGGGTTGAAAAAGAACAAAGAAGTTCTGTATATAGTCAGTAAATATTGTACTTGAGCACATGCAAGTGACTGCTCCTTGTTCAGAGTTCTTTGGAGGATTGAAACATTCCAGGCTGATGCTAGCCTTCCTTTAAACTCAAACCAACCAGACTGCTTCCTGACACTGGCTAGGGGACAAGATCTGTCTTGGCTGCCAGCCCCTGTGTAGATATTTAGCTTTGATCACTGTTTATTCTTTCATCACTGACTTAAGTGATCTGCTGGCTAATTATTCTTGCACAAGGAAAACTAGCTAGAGTGCTACAAATAGCAATCTGCCATCTGCAGAGTTGGAGTGGACCTTATTGTCACCTAACCCTGTATTTAGCATAACTTCTCCTGTTTAAATACTACAAGTAGGTCAGTAAAAGCCATGCTGGGTGACACCTGTGTTATATAGAAACTCAATTTGAGGCCTTTGTCTTCTCTGAGGGAGGAGTTGTTAGCTATGTGTACATCATGTTGCAAACAAGAGGCTGAAGAGCTGTGGTAAAGGCTGGTTCAAGCTGCTTGTCTGAAAGAGCTGTGCTTTTCTAGTCTTGGAGGAGGAACATTCCTGGGACTGTGTTGTCTGCTGACTGGCTGCGAGACGTTTGAAGAAGCACTAGAAATGGCTGCAAAAGGAGACAGCACCAATGTGGATAAGCTGGTGAAAGATATTTATGGAGGAGACTATGAGCGGTTTGGCCTTCAAGGATCTGCTGTAGCCTCAAGGTATGTGTTAATAGAGCTGTTTTTAAGGAGTTCCTTGGGAAACTTGCTGTGCATGCTGAACAGAGTGCGTAATCCCTGGACTATGCACTATGTCCGTGTGGAAGTGTCACTGTATCATGTGGTTTGCCCTTAGATCTCTCACCTACTTCTTGCTCTTTTTTTTTTTTTTAAAGCGGGTGTTAATAGAGCTGTTTTTAAGGAGTTCCTTGGGAAACTTGCTGTGCATGCTGAACAGAGTGCGTAATCCCTGGACTATGCACTATGTCCGTGTGGAAGTGTCACTGTATCATGTGGTTTGCCCTTAGATCTCTCACCTACTTCTTGCTCTTTTTTTTTTTTCAAGCAGGTATAAGCAATGCTTGATGCAGTTTCTTCCATTTGAATTACAGTTATTTTAGAAGTGACTTTGCTCATTTTCTGCCTTGCCAGTGAGATCCCTTTTCACATTTCAAATGTCCCAAATCAATGGAAATCAAATCCAAGAAAAGCTTATTAAATGATAAAATTTCTAAGGGCTTTCAGCACTCCTAAATAACATATTAAAAGGAATAATCTTCCTCACACAGCTTTGGTCATATGATGAGTAAAGAAAAGAGAGATTCCATCAGTAAAGAGGACTTGGCCAGAGCTACTTTGGTCACCATCACCAACAACATAGGTTCTATTGCTCGCATGTGTGCATTGAATGAGGTAAGATAGCATATTTACTATGAGCTTAAATTATCAGAAGACTAAAATGCAAATTACACGTATAGGAGGTGTGTAACTGGCCTTGATAAATATACATATATTTAATATTATGTCCTTAACTCTTGTGATTTGTGTTACTTGCATACTTCAGCGTAAGGTGTAAGGTACTTCAAAGGTAGGGGAAAGGGGAGAAAAGTTGACTGTGAAGATCTCCTTGTTGCATTGAGCTGTTCAGTTGCTCTCAAGCTGTAATATATAGATATTAATACCTTTGTAATCCAAATTAATACTCTCATTACCTTGCAGTTATTAAGAGATCTTTCTATACCATGACCTATTTTCTTTAAATAGTATTTTGCTTGGCTTGTTTCCATAGCGTAATGAATTCAAATGGGTATTGTGTTAAATATTTTGATAGATACAAGATCCATTGTATTGTGTCAGAGAGAATAAAAGTAGTTTTATTATCTCATCTTAAACTCCTGTCAGATGCGTGTTGCTTTCTTTTCTGTAGGCATGGTGTTTATGAATGGATGGTTCCATTCATACGCATTTCCTGCTTCCAGCTGTTTAAAAAAAACAAAAGAAAACACAATCATAAACCCAAATATTTAGGCATTTGTTTTCAGCTGCAAATTGCATCCCTTACTGTTATGTAGTAACTAATCTCTTATCTGCTCTCAATGAATTTATTGAATTTTTTTTAATACATAGATGTTTTTAGCGCCACAGCATTCTGTGGTTAGCAGTGTTTTAGTTCTTTAGTCAACAACACATCCACACAGCCCCCAAAAAACCCCCAACAAAACAAAACCAAGAAACTCACTCTACTGCCATCTGATTACTTTATTGGGTCCTACCTAGCATTTTTGCTTTATGAGAAATAGCAAATAATAAAAAGTTCTTGTGATGGATTTTGATTTTGTTTTTTCATAAACCTTTTAACACATCTCCCTCTTGGTCTTTCCAAGACAGAAGGTCCTGATTCTTAGTCTCTTCTCCCACAGAAGACACTCTCTCTTGTCCATTGTTTCATTTTCTTTTTAATCTTTTTAGGGTTCTAATTTTGAGATTCAATGCTCAGATTTTCAGGCAGTATTCAGAATGTGGTTGCACAATTAATTTGTGATGGCATATTGATACATTTTGTGTTCTCGCTTCCTTTAATAACAGTTTTTAATATTTTATTTTCATAAGCATGGAGCTCATCTTTTTAAGAAACCATCCATGGTCCCTCTACACTCTTTATTGAGTGATGGTGGCTAATTTGGAGTCCATCATTGTGTCTGAATACTGAAGTCTCTGCCTCTTCCCCTTTCCATTTGTCATTTTACTTTTTTAATGTAAACTTCATTTTGTCCCTCAGTACTGGATGTAAGTCTCTTCAGCATTGCTAAGCTCTACATTTTTCACTCTGATTCTCCTGAATAACTTTCTATGCCAATAAATGTTATGTTTGTTACCAATATCCCTCTCTAGAGCACTTTAAAAATGTTGAACAACACAAGTGTACATCCCATCAAAGGCCACCGATAACCTCCTTTCATCATAAAAAGTGGTTACAGACTTTTTTTTTGGCAATTTGACTCTTCCAGTCAGGATGATTCTCTTTCAGTGTTCTCTTTGCTTTCAGCTTCTTTACAGTGTTGCCTTGTGGCATGGAGTTCAAGCAGCATTGTACAGGGCTATCAAAGCATGGAGAGTTGCAGCAGGGAGTCACATGTGATGCATTCAGAGGAGGAAGTAGGCTACTAATTAAGCTAATGCTTCAGAGTCGTTGTGAAGAAGTTCCTAATATCTTTGTTTTGTGAGCAAGTGTGCTTAAAAACTGGACATGATCCATAGTATTTTGTGGAGGAACATGGATTGATGGGTTAAGTATTATTCATTTCACAGAAAATGTCAAAGTAGAATTTCTCCAAAACTTGATCTAAATTATTTTGTTGCTTTACAGGATGAAAACTTAATTTGGTAGCTTTACATATTCAACTGTGATGTATCATTAAAAGTAAGCAAATCTCCAGATAGCTTGCTCTTGGGGAAAAGAAAAAGTCATGGTATCATTCTGCTAAATAATCTAGGCACATAAATTGCCTTTGGGAGATAAAGCTCTGACTCCCACCAAGCTTGATGAATGAAATGCCTAAGTAAGAGCTTAAAAAGCAGTTGGATATGATATGCTCTTTTCTGCAGTTTGTATGTATTATATTATGGTTATGGTGAAGCTCACTTCTCGCTTCTATGACAAAATCAATTCCTGCCTTGAAGCATGAATTGTGATAAGGTCTTTTTTAATGATTGCGTCTTTAATATTGTGTTGAAAATTACTTGCATATGTGAAGGAAAAAAAATGAGGCTGGGGAATAAGTTCAATACTCTGTCTGCAGAACTTCAAAGCAAAGTTTACTTGCACAAATTTGGCAGCGGGGCAGAAAAATTCCATAGTCTGGAACCACTTGGCTACACATCATTTGAAACAGTTCTGTCCTAGGCAAAGCAGAACTGTATAGAGGAAACCAATCTCCCTGGTTTATACTTACTAGCAGAACATCTGAGTTTCATCTGAATGAGGCTTCTTGCAAAAAAATATGCAGACTTTTAAAATTGCATCTTCAATATAGATGCCCTTTTTCAATGATACTGGAAAATGTGTGTATATATATACTGTATTGATGCTGTACTGTAGCTTTTTTCACAGAGTAATTGAACAGTTTAGTAAGACCCCACAGAATGAAAGAGTGCATGTTTTTTCCCAGGATATTGCAATTTGGTCAGCTTAAGCATTTCATCATCATTCTTTCATTAGTTTAAGGTTTCTGTCTTTCAGCTTTGGATCTTTCAGCAGTGAACAATTTCATAGTAAATCGGCAAGAATCCCTTAAGAGATAAAAGTATTATTTATTTCTTTTCTGACTCCTGAAAAATGCTGAAGCTGTTTTGAGTTAATTTCAAAAATCTGAGAAACTTCACATCTTTAGCCTTGTCAAGTCATTAAAATAAAATTCAAATGTAGGTTCCAATCAATTTGGTATTGCATTGCAGGAAATAATTAGTTGCATGTTTGTCCTTCCTTTATCAGAGACAAAACTGCCTTGTCAGAGAATGCAAAGTTCTCTTGGCCATAGCAGCCTTTTGCAATTTGAGAAGTTCTTTTCAGCCATACAAGTTTCTAGGAATGAGTATGGACACATGCTGATGTGACTGCAGCATCTTAGGGGGTAGATTAGTATAAACCTGAATTATTTAAATAAAGTTTGTGTTGATGACAATCAGGCATGTAACTTGGTCATTGGAGACTGGGTAAATGAATTGTTGCATCTGGGTATCAGCGCTTTCCAGTACTGAGCACTGAAGTGAGGATGTTCTCCGTGGTGTGTCACATGCACAGTACTGGACATGACAAAACTGGTCTGTAGCAAAGTAATTGCTGTGGAACCAAGTGTTGGGCTTTATAAAGTTGTGTGAATGTAAAATAACACTTGGTAATTCTAGCCTCTATGCAGATTTTGGCTGGTAGTTTTCAGCAGAGGACTGCTGAGGATACGTGTCTAGAGCTCATTCAAGACTCCTGTAAAAGCATATGTCTCCATGATTTGGCCTCCTACTGAATCTTCTAGACCAATTTGAATGTATGGTGAACATCATATGATACACCAATTCAAAATGCAAGTGCGTTTTTGTGCATAACAGACAAATCTTGAGCTTGGCAAGATAGTTATGGGCATTGATCAAGTGCCAGAGCTGTTGCTTACATGCATGGATGTGCATACAAGTGGGATAGTGTGTGGCTTTCTCTCTGACAGCGTAGGGGTCATTGTTCAAAAACCTTGAGCCTTCTGTATGACAACTAACTTCAAGTGAGCTTTGAAACAGAGGAATGCAATACATGTCAAGTATCATGTTGGCCATGTTTTACTTGCTTTATGAAAATGCAACTGCAGTCCAGATGATAGACAATGAAAGGTGCTTTTCCCCATCTAATATAATCCTTCTCAGATACACTTCAGAGGTTCTCCATCTGGAGTTAATAAACATAGCGATCTTAGGGGGCAAAGATGTCTTCAGGGCAGCTGTGCCATAAACAATTGAAAAAAACCCTCACCAAACAACAAAACCAAACAAACAAAGCACTCATAATCCTGCTCATGTTGAGAAGGTTCTGGTTTTTTAAACAAATATTCACCATCTGTGGTATCAGCCTCTCGCTTTCTTTGGAGTAAAACTTTTTTCATCTTGCAACACTTCTACTTAGCAGTTAGTAACTGCAATTACTTGTTAGGCTTTTCAGTCTAGAGAATTTAAATATAAACCAGAACTCCCATTTAACTTTATAGTGGTGACAGAAGAACATGTTGGATGAGCCAAATAATGTAGCTGAATATAATTTTTTCTGGTCTGCTTTGCCATTTTACAGAACATTGACAAGGTTGTATTTGTTGGCAACTTTCTCCGAATTAATATGATTTCTATGAAGGTGCTAGCATACGCTATGGATTATTGGTCCAAGGGACAACTGAAAGCTCTGTTTTTGGAACATGAGGTAAGGAAATGCAAACTTCTGTTTGTAAGTAAAAAACTTTGTCATTCTTGACTTGGTAAAGTTAAAAAGGAGAATTTCAGTGCCATTGTTTTGAATTGAATGCAGAATCTAAGTTTTGCATAAATATAATTTGATTCCAAATTAATTTGAAAATACCTCTTGTTAATTCCCTGGCTTGATTACTAATCTTGTATTTGTTGCTAGATGTTGCACAGATCTTATTTTTTATTTTGACACCAGTACCAACAATGTTCACTTGAGTCAGCCAGTATATGAACCTCAACTAGAATTTTATAAGGATAATGTTGAGGTGACTGTCAGACGGGTGTGTTCATAATGGAAACTACCCTGCCTCAATACAGCATCATTATAGTGGTTCTGTAATGTCTTTTTTGACAGTTTTGGAGAACTGTGTAAGAGTTCTTTTGATAGGCCCTTTCTTGGACCTAAAAAAGGTCATATTAAATCAAAATTCAGATACAGCACAGCTGATCTCATAAGAAGAGTCTTCTAATTGCCTTAAAAGAACTGAAGACTATATGCCCATGCTTATGTCTCATTTTGAAATCTGATTTGCTTTTGCTTTTGCCTTGTTCAAAGGGTTATTTTGGAGCTGTTGGAGCTCTTCTAGAGTTGCTTAAAATGACAGATGATCAGTGATGAAGCTGTCTGAAGAGATTCCTACTGCAGATGCTGCTGGATAAGATTGAAAGACACTACAAGGATGGAAATGAAGCCATTATGGTAGTTCTACCTGCTGGATTTGTAAATAATTTAAAATCCTTTTAGCTGATCTTAACTTCTGGGTTTTGAGCTTATACTTCAGAATTCATACTGGGAATAACAAGATTTTTTTGTTTCTGTACACTGTATTTTTTAGGGGAAAAATGTGCAAAGTGGCCAAACATACAGATTTTAAGATTTATTTTAAAAAGTGGATACTGTTTAATATAGGATCTGTGATATGAGGCATCTGCTTTTCTTCTGGGGTTTACTGATTAGTGTGGAAATTTTAACTTCATTTAGTAATCACTCTAGGAGATTTTTTTTATCTTATTTTCATGACGTTTCATGATTTGTTCTTGGTTTCAAATGAAACTACAAAGCTGATGCATTTTGATGTGAAAACTAGTAATTGATTTTTTTGCCTTTCCTTTCCTCACTAGATGAGACACTTCTATTTAACATTTCCCTGCTCCCTTGAAAAAAAATATAAATTACAAGCTTTCTGTGGCTGCACAAGTTTCTTGACAAGACTGAGAGAACTTGGTAGGTGCAGGGAGTTTTAAGATAGTAATTTTTCAGTTGTCATGACTGGCAAAAGGAACAGTCTACTAACTGGTTTTGCAGGACTAATTTTCCTCTATATTAAACATTTTAAACAAGATCCAAACTAAAATTTAATTATTGGCTTGACACTAAAATAAAATCGTGTTTCTGTTGAAATCTCTGATCTACTTGAAAAGTTCTGTAGTACAGATGTTATTGATATGGTACATATTTGGCTTTAGCTGACAAGGAGAGAAGATTGTTTTCATTTATTTAAAGACTTTTCTGTAGTCTGCAATTTTTTAACTTTAACTTAATTGAAAACAATGAATGAATGCATTATTCAAAGCCCAGTTTCTAAAATTTAGAAAAATAATGAATAATGCATTTTTTTGTTTCAAGTTAATGTTAACTTTCTCTCCAGGACACTAAGGTTTGAGTGTTCATTCAAATACAGTATTTTCTACCTTTTTTGTTTTGTGAACCTCTCCAGGTTCTTTTTTTTCTTTGTAATTGAAACCCGTTTGAAATATGTGTACTTAGGTTGCTGTCTAGCATGTATAAACTTGTTTTCTTAAACACCATGAGTGCTCACAAATCAGAGGCAGAAAACCAGTCCATAAATTCTTTTGTCTTGCAAAATTGTGTGTGATGTCATGTAACATAAAGGACTTATCAGAGGAACATAAGTATTCAGGAAATTCAGACACAGGTATTTTTGGAAGGGGGCTTATTTCACTTTTTTAATAGTCATCAATTTCCATATCTCACAAATGTTGAAATAAATTAATATTAACAGAAGTGTTAACTTGTCTGATGGAAATAAAGACCACTGCTGTTTTGACGGTTTTAATGTGTACATGGAATTCATTTATTGAAATCAATGTTGTGAAGTACATAACACTATTTTGTGATGCACGTGACTAGTTATAATTCTTCGGTTCTTGGTGCTTTTTGATCTTCCTTGCATTGCCTTGGTCTTGGAAGCTTTTTGCTTGCTTGAAGTTGATTTTTCAGAGAGTAAACTACAGCATGAGACAATTAGCATGTTGTAATGTCATGTAATGTTGAGCTGGAGGTAAGTGGGTATAATTCTGCTCACTGGCTCTATTTTTTTTCGTGAAAAAAAGTGAAACTTTCATTAAGCTTGTTTGCTAGATTTTGCCTGCAACTAGAGATTGGTTTGTATGTTACTTGTTTTTTTTTTCAGGAAGACGAGTAACAGGTATTTGCACTTCTTATTATAAACAGTAGAGGGAAGCATAACATCATCCATGTAAATGTGCTTTGCTAAAGCAGTGGTGCTTGGGACAATTTGTGCGGTTGGTTTGCTTTGTTTCAGAGAAAGATTCCATCTTTTTCTCTTCAGTACTGAAGGGAATTTATTGCAATATCTCTGTTCTTGCATTCCTAGCATTTATAGCTATGTGAAGGAAAAATATAATGTTAAGTAAATATGAAATGGCACTTCTTTAAAAATTAAGATCCTGTAATCCTCAAAAAAAAATATAAAAATATTATTGAAACCCCAACAAGTCGTTCAGGAAGGTACATCTGGACTATGCAAGATGCACAAGTTCAGGCTGTGTGGTTGAATAGGGAAAGCACAGTTTTGGTAGCCCTAATGTTAGCTATAAAATTCTGGGGACTGCCAGATAAGTTGATCATAGCAGTTCTAAGAGAAGCATAAAACAATACTTTAACTTCAGAATATTGACTTGAAATTTAAAATGCTTAATAGGTCAGTTGATGTAGTTAAAAGACAGGAAAAATTACTCTAACGTGTATACTGAATGAATTAGTACATTTGGTTGAGAAAAATATTAGCAAAGTAAATTTATAGGTTGTAGAGTGAGAAGTCACTAGGTAGGAGAAATTAGTGGAGTCTCTCCTTCCCTGCCAGCACCATCATATGAATCTGTTACTACTGTAATTTGCTTCTTTACCTTTAGGCTTTGCCCAACTTTTGCTTTCCTCTGATGTACCTCCTCCATAATTAAAGTCATTGACAAATGACAGTGTGATTAATTTCTAGCACTGTTTCAATAGGGGAGCATTTGGGGCATAAAAGCATCACTGTTGTCTTGAATTTTTCTGATGGTCTTTTGTACCCAATTGCTGTCTACAGTAATCTGATGGGAAGGTTCTTTGCACCACTTCATCACCCAGAGGTATCTAAGAGTCTGAAAGCAAACCTACTTGACTGCATAGATGAACCTCGACTATAACTGGTACAAACTGGAAATTGGAGCAAGCAAAGCTCTGTTACGCTGTCTGAGTTTTTTTGAGAACCTAGAAATCCTTGCATCTTTGTTTTAGAAATGGTGAGGGTAAAGGAGCAGACTTCCCTCAGGAAGATCAGCTTGCAGATTTAGTATGTATTCAAAGCCTCGTTTTGATATATGTTGATGAGATTTCTTCATTGTCTAGTCTGTGTTAATCTTCTGAAACTTTCTAAGTTAATTATTAAGGTACATTGGAGCAGAATGAGTGGGATTCCTTGCTCTCAATTTTATGGCTTGTGCCAAGGTCTGCTGCTTTTGAACTTGAACATTTCTTCTTGTTGAAAAGTGTACTACTCTCCTCATCCTCTCCCCTTAGTAAGGAACCCCAATTTTAATGATTTTGGCAAAAAGTCTAATTACGCCCCATAGGAAGAAGTGTCAGTGTTTTAAATTTAAGTTTTTGGACTAAATTGTTGGGGGAAAGTTGCTAATGCTGGCTGAGGAGTGGGACATGACTAAGACTATTTATTTGATTGGATTTAATACAGGCTAGCTTGGGGTGCAAGGGTGGCGGGGGGAGAGGGCAGTACAGGAATCTGACTTCTAGGACAAGTGGGGTGTTTGCAGTGCATTCCAACCTCAGCAAAGATGTCCTGGTTTTTCACTGTTATCAGCACTTATGTTCCTTTTAGACTGTCACAAGATACTTGCAAGTGATTTTTGGCAGGACACAGCAGAATTTTAGAGATGGGGAAAACCATATGGGGTTGAACTGATGACAAAATAAACATACATGATTGTTTCCAGTTGGATGAGTTCTACTGGGATCTGTTTTTAAAGTACAAGGTGTATTTGAGTTTGGGATTAAATTATATACAGGCTATGAAAAAAGACTACAGTCTGTTTTGTGTCTTGCTACCTCTCAGTGCCTGGGAGGTAGAGGATATCTGATCTCTAGGATGTCCTGGAAAATAAATGCTTATTTAAATCTAAAAAACTAGATTTTGATTCTCTAAGTAATCCTGGTGCTGATTGGAACTTACTAGTTGCACAGTTATTAGTATGTCTGGAGAAAAAAAAATGTAGGGCCTGTGCAATAAGAATATGTTCTTCAAACCTCCCACTATTGCCTCCCAAAAAAAAATCCCAACAAAAAGAAGCAAAATAAAAATTGTCATTCTAATTGTAAAAGTTAGAACCTGTCAACTGAAATTAACCTCAAGCAATACTAGTTACTGGCACTTGGAGACATGGAAGAGAATTGAGTAAGAAAAGTTGAGGCTTACAAGAGGGGAAGCTGCTGAGCCTGGGAAAGGGACATAGCAGCAGTATCTTTAGAGGTTTCTGGCAGTGACATGAAGCAGGTGGGAAGGGCACACCAGGGTAAGCAATAAACTAGCTCTTAGTTAGTGCAGCCAGTGAAGAGATGGGAAGGTCAGACTGACAGGGCAGGCAGTGTTTTGTCCCAGTTCAGAGGTGAAGGTGGGTGCAGCTGCATGGTCATGAGCTGAAGAAGGGTTACTGCTCAGGTCGAGCTCCCTGGTGTAAAGTTCCCAGAGAGACCTGTGCTGAAGTGTTAGGTCACTATTCTGCATGCAGATGTGCTCTGTAGTGCAGGCAGCAGCCTTGTCTCAAGGTTGCTTGTGTCAGTACGTAAAACGCGCATTGGGGAACGTCCTGGCATCTGGATGACTTTTTTTTTTTATATCAAAACCAGTTCTATTGTATTGGCAGGAGCACAGCTCTTTTTTTTTTTTTTTCTGCTGGCCTTCAGCAACTTGCTCTGTTGTGCGCAGCTGCACAAAGCAGCAGGTTGCAGCAGCGGGTCAGCAGCCTCCTGCTGCTGTCTTGCCCCGAGGCAAACCCTGAGATGGTGGCAAAAGGCAGGGTGATGTGGCCAGCAGAATTCCCAGAACAAAGTGCTTGTCATCCTGAATGGTTGTTTCTAATCTGTAGACGAGACTATGAAACACCAAGTTAAAGGTATGTTTTAAGGCAATCAAGGAGGGCAGACAGCCTGAAATGGCATCGTGTTACACTTAAAACAGCACTGTGGCACTCCCTGGTCTTGCTTATTTTGTTGTGACAGGGCACTTCCAGCTTCAGAAGTGCCATTCCAACTTGACAACTTCACTGTTTTCTAACTTTCTGGATGGATGATTCATTCATCCCTCTACCAACTTAAAAGTATGAGTAAATACAAACATTGTGTCCAGTATATAGCAGAAGTTACCCTTTAACAAATGCTCCAATGTACCAAAGCAGCCTTGGCAATGTGTGTACAGAGTTGAGTTTATCCCTCTTACTGGAATGTCTATTAAATCCATCCATGAGGCTGTGGACCCAGCTAACCATGTTACCACTTTCTCTCATATGTTAGAATTATTTTTTTCAAGTGTCATACTTTTTGGTTTAAGTTCTTATGTGAGAGCAACCTTCCCTTGCGAGGGAATACATACTCTCTGCTGCCTTGAAAGCACTGAGGAAAAATGCGTAGACCAAGACAGAGCCTCATCAAGAACAGCCACTGGTTTGATAATGCAGCAGATTGTCACAACAGAGAAGACAGTGCTTCAAGCAAGAGGATGGTGTGGCTGCTGGTATGTTGAGACTTGCTTGGGGTTGGTTTTAGTTGCTGTTTGTGGGGGGTTTTGTTGTTGTTTGGTTTTTTTGTTGTTCTTCTTCTTTGCGTTTGTATGCGTTAACCAATAGCACAAAGTAGCT